ATTAAGGGAATTTGAAAATACGGAAGTTTTTCATCTGAGTATAATATGTGATACCTTGTGTTTTTAGTCAGCAAAAAAAAAAATGCAAAGAAATTCAGCAAAAAAACTCTGATATACAATTCCATCGATTGTCATTTATTGGTTCAACTGATACTCCGATTGGAAAAAAAAAAAAAGAATAAACGAAGGGAGCTAGGATTACAAATTAATTTCAGTTATCATGCTAAAATTAAAGATTTGATTCCATAAAACAGCTATATATATATATATAATACAGTTTTTATTCTCGTTACAGTACTACGTTAATGTACGCTGAGTAATTCTTGACCCTCTATGTCATATAGCCTGCTAACAGAATTATTAGATGAAATAATTGAGATGTGCAGTAATTCTCTCTTTGCTATTTACGCTGACTCTGGCCGTCCGTCAATGGAAACAAACAAACAAACAGGATTTGAAAACGCTAATGGACGATTGATTCGTGGATTTTTCATGCATAACCAGGTTAATTTGTTTAACCACTAGTTTATATAGCAACGCAACGGAAAGTGAACTCGTTTCCACATGCAAGTTCTTTTTGTTATGACCCTTCATTTTCGTGAAAGGATTGTTTCAAAGGCTAGTCGATCGACTGCGTTTTTTGTACATTAATTTGATTCTCTGTCTGGACACAGTGTTGAAGGTATCAATACAACTTGCTCAAGTTTGACACCGTACCCAGTATAGTTGGATCAATCTAATGGGACAAGTAAAGAAGAAAAAAAAAAATAGTAAAATGTGCTGTTGTAGTTAGTCATGCAGATTATTCAACTCCAAAATGTTAAAGGCACAAACTGTGTATTTCTTACTATTCAATTGTGTGCAGTGATTAATGGCCACAGGATACAAATAGCATGCGATCTTCATCTGAAGATACACACAGGTTCTGCAGAGTGCCACCAATTAATTTACGGGGACTGCTTCTGTCGGTGAAATTCAAGTTTTAGAGAGAGAGAGAGAGAGAGAGAGAGAGAGAGATGTCAAATAGATAATTAGGCTAAACAAAATAAAAATATTTTAGTTCTGACAAATTTTTATTTTTTATGTTTGGCTGCTCAGCAGAAAAATTTTTTGGATATATGACAGTGATTGTTAATGGCTCCAATTCAAATAAAAAAAAAATTCATCTACGCAGTGAAGGATCTTTACGCTAATTTTGATGCTTAAACTTTCAAAATTATATATCAAATAATATATAGTAGTTATAAGTGCAAAATCCCACATTTGCTACTAACTCTTTCCTTTGATTGGTCCTCGGCATAAGTAAGAATGTAGGAGATGCCAATTAACCATAACCTTGGATTAATTAACGAGTAGGTGTTGTCATGCACGTGTTGTCGATGGAGATTAATTGCATGTTTCCTCTGATATATATATATATATATATATATATATATATATATATATAGTACGACAAACAAAATAACTATATAAACAAAACCCCCATAATATTATTATTAACCATCTCAATTTTTGATTCGCCGCTCTTGAGTTGGCAATGATCAAATCCTTGCGTGCCATCACCCTGACCGACTTCATTCTTACTTTTTAAATTCTCTTTCTTGGCTTCTCAGGAACCTTCTTAGTATCTGATATTACAAAATTAAATATTTCCAGCTTCTGATGTAACTAAAATTAGCACATATTATTTAGTTTTGCAACTTTCTCAAACAAAATAAATTTTGATTGAACGTACTAAAAGCGAGTCGTAATAGACTTTGTGCGATCATAGCAGCTGGTAGCTTAAAATTAAAATGCATCAGTTTTTTTTTTTTTACTCCATCGATCAATTAATAGGCATAAAGTTACAAGCAAACAATTGACTAGTCTTACAAAGCTCCAAATGCAGCTCGTTTGTTGGGAGCTGAGATTTGAGCAGAAAAGAGAAAGGAAAGTGAGAGAAAGAGGAAGGTTTCCATTATTTGGGAGATTTTTTAAGGACGAAAAAGAAGAGAAATCAATTGATATGGAAGGAGAGCAGCAGTCAAAGAAAGTTTGAGAGAAAAACGAAGGAAAGTTGGCAGAAGCTGCTTGATAAATTCTTTACAATTACAAATTCTGTCCTTGAATGACCATTGACCAATTTTTAATGACATATATATATGTCCAACATCATTTCTTTTCTAAACTCTTAAATAGCATATTAAAATCTCTTCCCTTCTTTTTCTCTCCTGTCACAACTTAACCTTTCTCATTTTTTCTTCTCTATCATAAACTCCTTAACCAAGCATAAGTCTAGGTTTCAAAACTCATCTGTCATTTTTTTTTTTTTTCTGACACAAGAGTGTCCGGGCTTTCGACCTGACTAATCCCCTGCCATCCGAGGAAAGAGGCCCAATCCCCTCGAAAACGGTAGCCCCAGGACTCAAAACTCATCTGTCAATTACTTGTATGATTTAAGACTCCTCGTGGTGGTACTGGTAAAAAGTAGAAAGGGATTTGATTAACTTATAAATTTTAAACATTATACTGAGGTCTCATCCACCACGGGCACGGGGTTGATTGCTAGTATTTCTGAACCCTTGGTTGGTGTATCAAAATACTAACTGGTGAGTACTAAATAAGAATTGCCACATAAATTCAAATATCTCGGTTTCGCAGGGTGGCAGCTGTCTCAACTCCCAAGCCTCTGGCAAGTCCCAAGTGTTCATTTTGTCGACAGAACTCTACGTACCCAGGAATCTCGCCGGAAAAAAATGCTACATATTCCCATCACGTGCGGCCATGTAAGCCCCCGATGCATTCACAAAAACCCACCACTGTTTCACCAACTGAACTCAACTCTCTAGGTCACAGGTAACATATATATATTCTTACTACCAAACAAAACAACCTCCACCCTTTTCTTTTCTTTTCTTTACTTTCTTGCATTATAATACTTCCTCCTTCCCTGTTAACTGAGAGGTTCCTTGACTTGTTGAAATGAATAGAAAGCAAGCAAGAAAACACATCACGGCCACAATGACCGCTGTTTCGGTGACCGGTTTTGAACTGTTAATTAGTCCCGGCTGGCTAAGTTCATTGATATCTTCTCGAAGAAGTAGGAGGTTCACCATTAGGCCAGTAATCCAAACACGCCGTATATTATGCAGAGATTACTAGACAGCACGTGCATGTTTTCTTTTTTTCTTTTTTCTTTTTTTTTTTCGGAAAGATTTAAATTGGGAGTGGCTCAAATGATGAAAAGCTAGATGGAAAAGTACTTAAGGCATGATTGTTTATTTGCAGCCCGTATTCCAAACTAATATTTAGTCGTACAAGCACGATAGATGCTAGCTAGACATGCCCAATTACTTAGTACAAAATGGTACTTTCGCGTCTCATAGCACAGCTCATGTGTTCGAAGGCTATGATTTATGTGCAACAAAAAATAAAAAATAGATTTTAATACCATTAATTTCAAGCATTATAACTTTAAAAGTTTACTGCAGATATACTAAAATTCTTCCCTATTTATTATTTTTGATATATACCATTTGGGGTCGTAATTATTAAGGTTGTTAAAGCATCTAAAATTCAGGGATAAAAAAATACTTAAAATATAAAAATAAGAATTATCGAGTAATGATAAATAAATTTGGAAAACCAGTCATTAAAATTTAAAAGTAGTAGCATGTAAATTTCATGGTCACGCGATCGTATTTTGCAATTAAAAAAAATGTATGTATGACAAATTTTTTGGACTGAGGCGAGATCAGAGAGCAGACTGATGAGAACGCGCGCTATCCAATATTTTCCAATGTTTTTGGTCAGTGGTCAACAATGCCATACTCGCCACTCGTCTAGCCGTAGGTAGGCTCTAGCATCTACTAGCTTGGTAAAAGTGAAAAGTAGTATTCACATCAAGATTTTTTTTTTCCTTTCTATTTCCATTGCAGAAGATATATGATCTTGTATCCTACTACTACTAGTACTAGTCAAGGTTTGTAAAATCGGGATCCCATGTAAGTTCGATTTTAGTTTCACAGAATCGGATCGTATGATCGTAAGATTCTACCAATAGCTTCTAATTACAATTAAAGGCTGTAATTCTTTGATAAATTACAAATATACCATAAATATTTTCATTTACTTGCAAAATGGAGTCTCGTATTTTATAAATTTATAAAAAATTGTAGGATCCTACGCGATCCTGCGTAGATTAATATGATTTGTGACTCTATATACGATCCGAATCGATTTTATTAATCCGGATCGTAGGATCGTATGACCCTACGATCCGGATTGCGATTTGGACAACTATGGTACTGCTACTAAATAGACCACGTTACAAATCTAACATGCCAAAGGTGAGTTAGGCCACAAGTAAAGAGTTAAATCCTTTCTAGACCGTAAATTTAGGGTATCTTAGATCCTACGATTCGGATCGCGATTTTGACAACTATGGTACTGCTACTAAATAGACCACGTTACAAATCTAACATGCCAAAGGTGAGTTAGGCCACAAGTAAAGAGTTGAATCCTTTCTAGACCGTAAATTTAGGGTATCTTACGGTTAAAACAAATTTAGAGGGCGTATTAAAGTACCACTTCAGTCTATACGGGTTTTTCTTCTAATCTCTTCCTATATAATGTAACATGCTAGTATAGATGCTTTACCCAAAAAAAAAAAAAAAAAAAACCAGAAAACACGGTATAGATGGTGTTGAATGTTGATATATATATATATATATATATATATATATATACACACACACGCACTGCTGCTGCTGCTGCTAGTAGTACTAGTAGTAGTAGTACTAGCAGCAGCAGCAGCAGCAGTAGTTTAGTTCAGACTTCAGAATCAAATAAGCAAGAGGTTGATGCAAATTTTGGTGTGGGTTTTGACAGTTAAAAATATTTAAATGAGAAAAAGATTAAAAAAAAAAAAGATAACATGGGCTTGCGTGCTGATACTGACACGAAGAGGCCCGCAAAGTTGGCTAATACACAACCAAATTTCTCTGAACCCACTTGAACTCTAACCCCATTCCGGAGACACAGAGAGAAGGATCAGTATGGCTCTCCGCCCTCATTCCTCTATTTAAAAAACCAACACTTCGCCCACTGCTTTCACCCCCCATGCATTTGTCCTCATCACCTCCAACACTCCTACCGCCCTTCACTTGTGTGTCCCTTTCCGGCTTTCCTCATTCCTCTCTCTCTCGATTCCCTCAGCTATTAATGGCCGCCTTATCCCCATGTCCATAACTTGTCTTCCAACAGTAACATTCCCTCCCCTCTTTTAAGCCCTCCAGTTAGCGCCCCCTTCCTTCCCTCACACTGCTAACCTAAGCTGGGCTTTTCCCTCTCCTGACAAGTTTCCAAGATTTTACATTTTTTACTACTAGTATTTTCTTGCTGCCAAGTTTTCGAATATCTCCGCTGCTCCATCCTCAGACGTTAACTTAGTTTCTGACAATGTCTAGCCGAAGATCACGTTCCAGGCAGTCAGGAGCTTCCAGGATAACTGATGATCAGATCGCCGATCTTGTCACCAAGTTGCAGCAACTTATTCCTGAACTTCGCAGAAGGCGTTCAGACAAGGTAATTAACTAACTCACTCGTGAACACGTTGGTGGTTATAGTCAGTTAAAGTATCCAGTTTTTTTAACTTTTTTTTTCCAAGCCAATTTACTCGCAAGAGGTAACAAGCTAGTCCCTATACCATACATTCATTCCCTGTAATTAAAGTCATATATTTTTGTGTGGCCATCATTTTCCTGTCTTGGATAAGTTGGGGTCATCGTAACCCAAGCTCATTCTCATTTGCGTATATATACGCCCAAATGCCACTAGACCACAGCCCACATTTATTGTTCTGCTGTACTCTTCTTGCTGAAGATTAATATGTGGGACTCCGTTGTTCCCCTCTTCCTATTCATATGCGTTGTGCTGTGCGCGTAACTTCGTGGCATGCCCGTCTGTAAAAGTACACACAACACACGCACATGTACATTACCAGCAACTAGGAAGTGCAATGTATTGATGGCATGTGTACTTTCTGCTATCAGGTCTCTGCATCAAAGGTCCTGCAGGAAACTTGCAACTATATCAGGAGCTTGCACAGAGAAGTCGATGACTTGAGTGATCGATTGTCAGAACTGTTAGAGTCAACAGACAGTGACAGTGCTCAAGCAGCAATAATTAGAAGCCTACTAATGTGATAGAATAATCCTTCTAATATTAGGCGATATTCCTTTCTTGTACTAGTATTTCCGTCTTCATTATCCTACTAGGGTTTGGTCACTCTGGGCCAACCGACATAGCAGTTTGATGATATATATATATATATATATATATATATATAGATCTGCTAATATTTATCCACTATTTAGCAGCATCTAGTTATCTACTCTTCTTGGGTAGCTTTGCATGGACCAGCTATAATAAAATGAATGCTTGCTCCCAAATTTTGATTTCTTAATTTAAGTTCTGTTGTTGCATTTTTCTGCACTTCATATTTGTGTAACGCATGCTCATTTTTTTATGATGACTGCGAGGCTGTCCGTTGCTCATAATTGTGCTGTATGTATGCTGTACTTCCTCAAAGGGTAGGTAATTATGTGCTTCTTCTACTGTTACATTTGCTTTACGAGGAATTCAAGGCCTCACAAGTTTAAGTTGTATCTAATTCAAACCCGTTCATGTTATTCTTATTGCATCTCATTGTTACATCAACTTAAATATATAAATGAACAAATTCAAATGTATACTTAAATTGTTTGAACTTACATAAAAAAAAAAAAAAAATTGTCAAAATTACATCAATCGGTTTGAAGTCGAGAAAACTCCGCACGCAAGGACCCCGATCTTGAGCTACTATGGTCTTTTTCATACTATTGACAAAATCAACTAAGACATATCTTTTCGCAGTTTCCTCCTACTGATGGATCTTTGTAGCAAGATTTTTCGGGATTCAAATCCTTGAGGTTTCCAAGGGAAAGGAAAAAGTAGAAAAACTCGTAGCCCACATATATAGTGTGTATATGCTTAAACAAAATGCAATTGATTTCATGGATTTTTCGAAGTAAACAAGTTGACACGCGAAGAGACTTAAGTACAAATAACCTGCAGCATCTTGAAGTTTAAAGGATCTGATGATCCTACATTTAGTTTAGTTGACCACATGCAGGCAAATATAAGGTATCCATGAAAATGCGATGGCCTAGGCTAGGCGACGTCGTTTATTCAGAGCACGTCAAACACAGGAGAAGTTAATCCTTCCTTGGCATGCTACCATGAAACAAATTGAATGAAGTATATATAGTACTACTATAGTATTATATATATAGTAATTAGAAATGATTGATTAGTGAACGTGGAAACTTAGAATGAATTCATAGACACAGGTTGGTGAGTTGGTCGCCTTTTACTGCGCGGTCATCCAAGACTGTGTTGCCCTTTTTTTTTAGTAATTATATGCATTAATAATTCGGTTAAACTTAATTACTATTCTTTTCATCTCCAGAGTTCCTCATACTTGGAACAATAAAATATGCAAAAACAGTAAACCGACCAAATCTTTTTTTGTTCTTCAAATATTTGCCTAGTATTGACTCTGGATTCATAGACTCGCTCTCGTAGCCCTGTAGGCCGAAGCTGTTTAAGTCAATTGTTGTTGTTGGAGTTGGACGCATGCGTTTTCGAGTATTCATTGGTCAAAGTTTGTGATTTTCTTCCCAAAAGGTTAAAATGAGGATTACAAATACGCCATACAAGAGAAGTTTTTGAACATATTTTGTACCTGCGTTAAGCACATAGGGCTCCTTCAACTAAATTTCTCCCAAAGAAAAAGAGGTGCCAGTAATTAAGTATCTCCTCGAGTAGCGGACATGCATAATCTGGTCTGCGATTTTGCACTAGTGTTTTATGTTGAAGTCGGTCTCTTTTTTCGAGGGTTGCATTAGATGATAAGGCGAGAAAGATTGTAAATACGGGATTCTGTACTCAAAGGCCTTTTTTATTTAAAAAAAAAAAAAAAAAAAAAAAAAAGAGATCGAAGTCCTTCTCTTTTCTAGCTCACATGGTACCACAAATCTGGATAAATTGCTGATATATATATATTTTTTTACATCGCTTGTCAGTTGCCACATGGTAAAAATTAATCGATCTCATAGCTAGCAAAAAGGGAAAAAAATTGTAAAAAGAAAGAAGTGAGTACTGCCCTTTTTTTTTTTTTTTGAAAAAAAAATCTCTCTGAAATAACATGCCTTCTTGGTCTCCATAATAAAAGATTTTTTTATCAATTAACAAAAGCCTATTAAATAATAGGTCTCCCACTTAAGCCAATACAAGTTATTTTCCAATCCAGCTGGAAGAGAAACACTCCTGTAACATGCGAGCCCAATCCTCTGGTATCAGTGGAAGGCCCAAAATACATTATCTGGGTTTTTCCGGTGGATTCGTGTTCAGTCGTGCATGGGTCCATTACAATCTCAGGTGCACTTTTAAGAGTTCCCCTTCCGCCCAAGTCTGACCCCCATATTTCGGTCACACTTTGTTGTGAAAGTCAACATATATTCCATTAATAAAAGAATTTTCTACTCCTGCATTAATAAAAGTTGTCCCTTTTCTTTGTCTTCATATGCCGTTTTTGTCACCCGTACTTTTCTGCTACTTTATTAATAGAAGTTCTCCTTTTTTTTTTTTTTTTTATAATTATTTCCCTAACCAGTGAGTCAAGATTCTCCTTAACCACAACTATGGCACAATTCACAAAAATTCTTTTCTGTTTAATGCATGTGTTAATTTGTTATCTTCAACCAATAAATATTCTTTTGAATCAACATCATGTCTTCAATTTATAAGCGTTAATAATTGACACAAGTTGGTGCTATATTGGTTGATAATCCAATCACACTAGAATTCAATTACAATCAGCTTCTCAAGTTTCTAGATTTAGCTCCGTAAGCCTAAAAATGGTTTGAGACTAATATATAGAAACCAAACTATTTGAGTATGTACTCGATCTTAAGATGTTTTGCCAAAAAATAGAAAAAAGGGGAAAAAAAAAAAGAGCATGTATTCTGAGCTTTATGCTAAACTTGAACATAAGTGGAAACTCAATAAAAAATGAAATTAAATTGAAAATGATAATTTGATGTTACTTTATATCCTTAATAAAAAGGATGTCTACATTTGGTATCAATTTCTAATAGAGCACCTTTTTTTTTTTTTTTTTTTTTCCATTCGCTTCACACATTCTTTTTTTTTTTTTTTTCTTCTTCGTCATAGTTTTATTTATCACATAAGCATTACGAAACCATAAGCCTCGGCGGTCACTAACTCAGCATGCCAGTAGCCAGCCTATATAATGAACGTAAAATCAAACAGTCAGTTTCTTTTTTTATTCAGTTCTCGAAGCTTCTCTTCTTTCTCAATCAACCGAATTCACACACCAGCTCTCTTCTCCAGACATCGTTCTTCTTTTACGATTAAAGCAAAGGTACGTCATAGATGATTTCTATGTAAAGATACTGAATTTAGGTTAATTGTTCAAATTTTTTGGTTTGATTAAAATTTACATCTTATTGGTTCGTGAGTTCTAGGGCAATTACCCGGTATGCTGGTTATTATAGGATATTGGAGTTAAACCTAGTTCAAAATATTGTAGAATTTTGATCATTATGATGTTTTCTGGCTGGTGTAAAGCGCGAAGAATTGCGTACTCGAACTCCATCCATGGTGAATGTAAAACCCTTAGATCAATTTAGCCTGATTCCTTTTTTTTTTTCTTTTTCTTTTTTAACTTTGTCTATGCAAAGAGAGTAATTGGAATATTATTATTGTTAAAAAATGCAAAAAAGGACAAAAAAGATGAAAGATTCTGTTTTGGCATCCGTACACATCTGTCGAATAAATCAGGAGTTGAATTACTCTAGTTCTCGTGAAGAATTCTGGAGAGCTAATTGGAACTCTACGGATTGTCCATTCAACATAAATTTCCAAGCTTCAACTATTACATATTGTTTTGGATGGGTTTTGGTTAAGTTGAGGAATGGTTTTGGTCGACCAATCGTCAGTATGATCTCTCTCTTTCTGATTAAATGATTCATAAGCAACTTATTATGATGTTTGCCAGGTTTTGTCCGTAAGCAAGCGGCCTGTTGTTACCGTGGATTTTTTTTTTTTTGGGGTATGTAGTGAAAAGTGATTTTAGTTTTCAATAAAATTTTTGAACTTTGATAAGTTAGTGCATTTCATAACTTTCATCCATCTCATTATGGGACCAGATTATGAATCTGTACCATGATATATACTACTTGTTTAATAAAAGAATGGTTGTGCTGGCCTCGGTCATTTGTTTTGACCAAATATTCTGTAAAAATGTTTTGCTTTAATTAGTTTTTGTAGGATTCAGTTGTTTGTTTCTTTTCTCTGTGTCAGCAGTTCTGCTGAATAAGCATGAATCCTGGTGATTATACAGCAGAGGTAACTGGTCTATCACCAAATGCAACAGAGAAGGATGTCCATGATTTCTTTGCTTTCTGTGGGGCAATTGAACATGTTGAGATTGTCAGGTAGCCTATGATTAGTTTAGTCCGTTTTTGAAGTAATCACCTTTAGCTCTTTCTGCTGCATGTGTGTATGTGACCTTGTTTATTTTTCTTTTCTTTGTCTCAGCATAAATGGCCTGTGAATAGACTTGAGCAGTTTTGTCTACAGAATTTTTTTCTCCTTTATGGTAGCACTTCTATCTTTCAGTATACTTATAAATTAGCTTCTTTTCATGGTGCTAAGCTAATCACTTCCAATACATGCGATGTAGGATATTCTGAAAAGGCTTGTTGTTAGAAGGAAAAACCATAGTTATTATGTTGGTCTGGGTTGTGCTTGACCTTTAGATGAGATGAAGATTATCTTCAGTAGATCGTAAACTCATTTGATGATTTCTATATGTCTTAATCATTATGTTTGTTTACTTTATTCAGATCCTATAGATGGTTTCTTTCCAATTAATTACCACAAAAGTTACTGTTGCCTTTAATAATAGCAATCCTTGATTTTTTGTATGCAGAGCTGGTGAGTATGCGTGCACGGCCTATGTAACATTTAAAAATCCTCATGCTCTGGAGACAGCAGTCCTGCTCAGTGTAAGCTCTGTTTGTTACTAGATTTCTGGAATACTTGCAGGTGTTTATGGATGGGGTATCATATTAATGTCCTTCACTACCTGTTTGCTTGTTCATCTTTGTACATTTCCATTCTCTTCATTCTTCTAGGTCTCTTGTGCTTGTGCCACTGTAAGTGTTTAATTGTTCTCCAATTTCCAGTAACTCTGTAAATGTCTCTCCTTGAAGAACTGTGTCTTAAGTCCTGCTGAATACTGTGAGTTAAGGGTTACAATAACTTTTGAAGATCAATCTAGTATGAAAGCAATTTAATGTTGAACCAATTCCACCATT